ATAGAGAAAACATACCTCAAAGTAATAAAGGCCATATGTATGTATATATAGCCAGTGGCTGTAACACCGTAATGACCAAACGACCGGTCACTAGGGGGTGCATTGATGGGTCCCGCCTGTGGTTGCACAGCGGAGTCTGGGGTCTTACATGATTTCGTGCACTGGGCCTCTAGTATATGATAAACCCCAACCAACATCATACTCAATGGGCAAAAACTACAAGTGTTTCCCTTAAAACTGGAACCAAGACAGGGATGTCTGCTTTCACTATTCTTATTTAACACAGTCCCGAAGTCCTAGCCACAGCAATCATACAAGAAAAAATATGTCATCCAAATTGGAAAAGTAAAACTGTCATTATTTGCAGATGACAGAATACTGTGTATAGAGAGTCCTAAAGATTCCACACAAAAACTACTAGAACTGATAATTCAGTAACGTAGCAGGTTACAAAATAAATATCCAGAAATCAGTCGCTTTTTTTTTAAATCTTCACCCCAGGATATTTTTTTTCCATTGATTTTCAGAGAGAGAGTGTGCAAGGGCAGGGGGAGAGGAAGAGAGAGAGAGAGAGAGAGAGAGAGAGAGATCTTGACCATGAATGGAACTCAACACCCTTCAGTGCACAAACTGATACTCTAACCACTGGGCAATGCCAGCCAGGGCAATCAGTTGCAGTTTTATACACCAATAATGAAATATCAGAAAGGAAAACTAAGAAAACAATCCCATTCATAATTGCTTCAAAACAAAATAAAATACCTAGGAATAAATTTAACTGAAGGGTAAAAGATCTGTACTCAGAAAATTATAAGACACTGAAGAATGAACATAATTAAAATGTCCATACTAAGCAATCTACAGGTTCAACACAATTCCTATGAAGTTACCAATGCAATATTTCACAGAACTAGAATATTCCAAAATTTCATATGGAATCACAAATAGCAAGAACAATTTTGAGAAAGAAGAAAAAAGATGGAGGTATCATGCTACCAAATATCAAACTATACAAGAACTTAGTAATTAAAACAGCATAATACTGGCATAAAAACAGACACATCCCTGGCCGGTTTGGCTCAGTGGATAGAGTGTCGGCCTGCAGACTGAGGTCCCAGGTTCAATTCCGGTCAAGGGCATGTACCTGGGTTGCGGGCACATCCCCAGTAGGGGCTGTGCAGGAGGCAGCTGATCGATGTTTCTCTCTATCCCTCTCCCTCTCTGCAAATAAATCAATAAAATATATTTTTTAAAAAAAGACATATAGATCAATGGAACAGAATAGAGCACTCAGAAATAAACCCTCATCTTTATAGTCAATTAATATTTGATAAAGGAGGCAAAAGCATACAATGGGCTAAAGAGAGTCTGTTAAATAAATGGTGATGGGAGAACTGGATAGATATATGCAAAAAAATGAAACTAGACCATCTTCTTATACTATACACAAGAATAAACTCAAGACAGATTAAAGACTCAAATGTTAGACTCAAAACCATAAATATCCTAGAAGAAAACATAGGCAGTAAAATGTCAGACATTTCATGTAACAATTTTTTTTCTGATATATCTCCTCAGGGAAGTGAAACAAAAGAAAAAATAAACAAATGGGACTACATCAAACTAAAAAGGTTTTGCACAGCAAAAGAAACCATCAACAAAATGAAAAGTCAATCCACTGAATGAGAGAACATATTTTGTTCTGATAAGGGCTTAATATACCAAATTTATAAATAACTTATAAACCTCAACACCAAGAAACAAACTAACCACAATCCAATTTAAAAAGGGGCAAAGGGCCCAGCTGGTGTGGTTCAGTGGTTGAGCGTCAACCCATGAACCAGGAGGTCACAGTTCCATTCCCTGTCAGGGCATATGCTAGGGTTGTGAGCTTGATCCCCAGTAGGGGGTGTGCAGGAGGCAGCTGATCTTTATTTGGGTGAAATTTTAAAAGCAAATGCATTCATTGAGAAGTCTGACTTTCCTCAAAAAAGGGTGATAGCACAAGTACATGAACAAAGTCAAAAGTAACGAAGGGTTATTGCCACTTTCACCGCACTTCCTCTCCCATAAATAATAAATATAGAATGTAAAACCTTCAAAAATTGAAAAGCACAAAGCCTAGAGGAAATGGAGCAGGCCAGGGCAAAAGCCAACTGTTTAAATGAGAGAGCCCATACATGGTGGGAACTGGATGCCTTCCTGCATCCCTTAATCAAGATTGAATTTCTGTCAACACGTCTCACTGGGGAGGGGCAGGGGGAGGCACATGCGTCAACCACATTCCCCCAAACAAATTAAACTGCCAAGCAAAAGAATCAGCATCACATTTCAAAATTATCTAAATCCACCATAGCTTCAGAGTCCTGCAAACCTAGGAACATTATAAGTGAAAAAAATAGCTCTTTCTGACCAATAACTCCTACAATAGAGAAAAAAAGCCTCTCCAGTATGTTACGAACTAGTTTCCTTTTAAAAACTGCCTACTGCCCTAACCAGTTTGGCTCAGCGGATAGAGCGTCAGCCTGCGGACTCAAGGGTCCCAGGTTCAATTCCGGTCAAGGGCATGTACCTGGGTTGCGGGCACATCCCCAGAAGGGGGCGTGCAAGAGGCAGCTGAATCGATGTTTCTCTCTCATCGATGTTTCTAATACTCTATCCCTCTCCTTCTCAATTCCTCTCTGTAAAAAATCAATAAAATATATTTTAAAAGAAACTGCCTACTAAGTGCCACCCATCATATTATATACCTTATTTTTGTTTCCAAAAAACAAAGACTAAAAGGATATACATAATGCCCTCCCTTATGAAACTCAGAGTTGAGTGGAGAATACAATTATAACACAGTGCGATCCTTGCTATAATAGGGGATAAACCAAGGACAACTAAAGATAAACTACAGAAGTGCAGAGAAGCATAACAGCGTAAAAAAAGAGTCAGAGCCCAGCCAGCATGGCTCAGTAGTTGAGCATCGACCTATGAACCAGGAGGTCACGGCTTGATCCCCAGTGTGGAGCATGCAGAAGGCAACCGATCAATTATTCTCTCTCATTAAGGATGTTTCTCTCCTTCCCTCTCCCTTCCTCTCTGAAATCAATAAAAATATACATTTAAAAAAAAAAGGAGAAGAAGAAAGGTCAGAGCAAGCTTCCTGGTGGAAGTGATACCTAAAAAATACAGTTCTACCGGGTAAGGATGAATGTTGAGTTTTTATAGGGGAAGAGACAAATGGAAAGGGGGGGGGATAAATGGGGGGGGGCATACACAATTGAGGAAGACTGCAAAAGAAGCAATGCTACCTGTTTCCACAGTTATCTGATATTAACCTCTGTTACCTCCTGTCTACCCTTCTTCACTCTAAACCAAAAATAACTAGTCTTGACAAGCTCTATAAATCAAAAGGCGCAGGTTCAGAAGTGAGTGGAAGGAAGTGTCAAAAGGGTGCATTCTAAGCAAGGCTGAAATAGTGAACTGGCAGCCCTAAGTAAAACAAACACTTTGGTGTGATAGATGTTCTCAATTGAGAATCTCAATATCCAGCTTTTGAGCTGTGTCTTGCCTATTTCTATTGCAGGAAAAATCATGAGGTAAACAAATGGAAATATCATAAACAGAGCAACTCAAGACTTTATTAGAAGCGTAGTTAGTTAAGATGGTCCCATCCCAGGCAGTGCCATTTCCCCAGGGACACCCTCTCCTACTTTCACAAGGGATAAGATATCCTATTACATACCACAGTTAAATACAGTTGAGTTATTTTCATCTTACCCAGAGAGAAAACACCTACATTTTTTTTGTGTGTGCATAAGAGATCAGCAGGAGTCAGTAAATGGAACATAATCCAGCGTGCAATTGTAACTGTTAATCTAAGTCACAAACTAGGTCTGAAGGAAGTTAATGGACTTTGTGTTTCCACATTTATGTTTACTAATTTCTGTGTTGAAATTGGATCTGTTTACAGAAACAGATCTATGAAGCTTCCAAAATTGGGTCAATTTAAAACCCAATGGCAATCCCTCACTGTCCAAGCACCCTGAAATCAGCACAGAATACATGGACACTTGTTCTAATTCATCACTGTCCAGAAACCTCAAATATATTTTTTTCTATCACTTCTCTCCCAAACTTGTGTTTCAGATCACTCTGAAGAATTACACTCAGTTCTGCTTTATTTATCCATCGATTCCATAAACCATAATCCACTCTTATATGACTAATAGAACCTGGATAGAATTCAATGCCATTTACCTCTAGGCCAAATAATGACACAAATCTTTGTAAAATGTTAGTGTTCTGATATTCCAAGAGTAAGAAGCTGAAAGCATTTGTAAGGATTGACAGTGGGGCTGCAGGTTGTAATCCTCATCAATTTTCTATCACTCCATCTTGTAGAGAGTTATATTCTTCAAAAGGTTTGGGAAGCAGAACCTAAAAAAGTGATCATCTGAGGTGACAGGGAGTGAGGTCAACAGTGATAGGGTCAGAAGATTTTTAAATACTATAAATCTTTTTATATTATTTTGATTTTTGCACAATGCAAATGTATTACATATTTTTAAAATATAAATTTGTGCCTGTATGAATATATACTGTCAGTGGTATGTGAATCAGCATAATTTTCCAATGAGGTAATTTGGTGTTATGTACCAAAGGAATAACACATAACCATTAAAATATGTTCTACAGAATTTTAATGGCATGAAAAAAATGTTCATAACTATTGGGGGTTGGGGGAATAAAGGTTTTCAGTGAATAATTTTTTAAAACCAAACACAGGCACAAAAAACACTGGAAAGAAAGCTATCAAAATGTTAGCCACAGTTTATGAGATGGGACAATGGGTTATATTGTTTTCTTTTGCTTTCCCAATATTAAATAAATTTTCTTCCAAAACATGTTATTTTATAAAGATATATTAAACTTACTTAAATACTTCTGAAGCTAATATATTAATGTTCCTTTATTTTTTTTAATGTAATTCACTGTGGACACAAACTTACCTGTTAAGTCCAATCAAAGTTGCAATATACTTTCACCTCTCTTCTGATATCGTGAAGTCTAGCAAGTACTTATCAAGAACCTGAGAGAAAAATAATAATAATAAAGAAAAAGAAACAAGAACCTGGGAGAAGCAGAAAGATGAAGAAACAGGTTCAAGTTCTCTGTAGTAAAAAAGGTTAACAGAGAACAGGAAGGAGCTCTAAGATCAAGGATACCCACTCTCAAAACTACAGAGTTCTCTGAGAGTTAAGGTCCAAATAGCATGGATCCCCCAAACACCAAACTTCTTAACAGACTGTTGTTCCATCAGTGTAAAAGTGTTCTTAAATTTGGGGAGGGTATATTTACTGTCTCCTGGTGTCTTTCATATTACTTACACCTACTCCCTTTAGAGCAACCTTCCCAAAACCTCCAATTTAGGAACATTGACATCAAGAGGTGGTAGTGTGCACTTCTATCCTATTCAAATAGGACAGACAGCAGGCACACTTAAAAGATGAAAAACACTTTTACTAGGTGTGTTGGTTTTAAGTAGAACTAGCATTCTTTTAAAATCTTCCAAAGTAAGCTTCTACATACTACTTTACACCTTTCTCGCTAATCTTTAATGTCCTCCTAATCAAGTTTATCTACCAAAACAGACAAAAGCAGAACCCCTTCCAGTTTTCTACACCTTTTTCACAAAATACCTTGGGCTGCTGATCTCTATGTCCCTGTTGCAAACACAGACTTATTCATAAAATTACTCCGTCCTCAATTCTGCTTCCTACCTTTACCCATGGCAAAGAAAATTAAGTCTGCCAAGGGGCACTTGAACCTCTCCTCCTTTCTTCTCCAGCAAGTTAGAAAGAATTAGGGAAGAGACCAAGAAAAGGCTGGAGAAAAAAAATACGGATATAGAACAGCGATGGCGAACCTTCTGAGCTCGGCGTGTCAGCATTTGGAAAAACCCTAACTTAACTCTGGTGCCATTGTCACATATAGAAATTTTTTGATATCTGCAACCATAGTAAAACAAAGACTTATGTTGTTATTTATTTAATATATTTAAATGCCATTTAACAAAGAAAAATCAACCGAAAAAATGAGTTCGCGTGTCACCTCTGAGACGCGTGTCATAGGTTCGCCATCACTGATATAGAATAAGTCTGGACTTCACTGGGTTCCTACACAAGAAATGAAGGACCTTCCCACGTAATCCCCTTTCCTGGAGAAGCATAATTGCAACTGTAGAGTAAATTAACTTAAAGGTTAGAATAAAGACTTGCGCCTAAGGCTGGCCAAAGTAACTCTATTTATATAACTTGAAAGTTTAAACCAATTTACCAACCAAATCGATTAAGTCTACTTTTTCATACCTGCAATTTTATAGGCAATTTAGATAATGCCCATCCGCCTGTTCAGTTCAGTAGATATTAAGTGGGTGATTTCTATGCACCAAGACTGTTCTAGTTCCTGTCTCACAAACTTTGCTTATCAAGAGCCAAGTGTATGTCCCACCTGCTTCACAAAGCCACCCTTGTGCATTTCTAAGCTTCATTGATCTCCCTTGCCTCTAAATTGCCAGAGCACTTACAATACAAAGCAGTACAGCACTCAGATGCTGTCTTGTCCTCAGCAGGACTGATTTGGGGGGAAGTCCATGGTACTTAATTACGAAAACGGTACGTGATAAAAAGAAACTACATTATCAGGAAAAGGGGGGCAAACCAATCCTATGATACTATAGCCTGGTTCACACTTCTTTCCTCTCCTACCTATAAATGTCCTAGGTTAGGACCAGAAATTGGAAAGGCAATAATACCTAGTTTTTAGATCCAAAGGGGAGGGCCAGGCAAATGCAGATAAAACAGAATTAATTTAAAATCCCAAGTAGACACACAACTCCAAGTGGAATTAAACTCTCCCTCGAGTATGTTCTCACACCACCTCGCTGATCTAGTTTTGAAATGTGGTTGTCGGTGACCACCACTATTTTCCTCCCCCAAAAGCCACTCTTCTTGTTTCACCCATTTCTCTACGTTTGTCTAGGTTGTGGGCCTCAGTTTCCTCCTCTACAAAGTGGAGCAACGAATAGCACTTCTTTCGCTTGATGTGGAAATGAAATGAGAAAGCGCACGCAGAGGGCTTAGCCCAGTAAATGTTTATTTCACGTATGGAATAACACTAACTGTCACCACTACTACCAGCCTACGGCCTCTCGCACATCCTTCTTCCCCTGTTTCCCACGGTCGGTCTCCACTCCACTTCCAGATACAGCCCGCTAGACTCGGCCCAGACGGGTTTCTCGGGGAAATCCGGTAAGGAGGAGAAGGGTGGCCGGAAGGCCGGCTCCCACTCCGCCCCTGCCTGGATGGCGCCCCACAACAAAAGCCTCCAGAAGCCCGGGCTTAGCAACGCGGACCGAACTGCGGGCTTGGAGACAACCTCCAGCCGTTCGAAAATCAGGAAAAGGCACCCCCGCGCCCCAGTTGCTTCCCTTTTCTCCCCACGGCTCACCTCTCTCATCGGTAACGGCGAAGCGCCCGCAAGAACCGCCACGGGATTTAGTCAACGCCGTTGAAAATTTGAACCCAGGCTCTCCAGCCGAATGCACCAATCAGACTGCCGGAACTTGACAATCCCAGCCTCCCGATTGGCCCTCCAAATCGCTTGATGTCGAAAGTCAGGTTAAGGGAAGAGCAACCACCCTCCGGAAGGCTCCTGGGAAATGTAGTCTCAGGAGCTTTTGGGAGCCCATTGGAACAGCGCTAATAAGGATTTACTACAAAGCCCAGAATGCTCAGCTCCAAACTCTTTGGGGAAGGTGGTACCAATTGAAAAGACGGGGAGTCGAGTTAGGTAACAAAACAGCGCCCATCCTGGACCTCCCCAAAACCTTTACGGAAGAAAATTATAATTTTATTTTTTTCTACTTGTAATTGTGCATTGTGCCTGATATTCGTAGGAATTCACTTCCATTTTAATATAGAATCCTCTGCCTGCAATATAGACTCGCCCTCAGCTTCTCTGCCAATGAAGGAGGCCCTCAAATTCTTTCTATTTTTTAATATATTTTATTGATTTTTTTACAGAGAGGAGGGGAAAGGGATAGAAAGTTAGAAACATCGAGGATGAGAGGGAAACATCGATCAGCTGCCTCCTGCACACTCCCCACTGGGAATGTGCCCGCAACCAAGGTACATGCCCTTGACCAGAATCGAACCTGGGACCCTTCAGTCCACAGGCCGACGCTCTACCCACTGAGCCAAGCCGGTTAGGGCCCCTCAAATTCTTAATAAAGTCCACGACCTGATATTACTGGTTTAAACAGCGGTTTATTGGGTTCCTTGTTTTTTCAGTTTTAATTCCAACTACGTCTCGAGTGTTGTTATCCTTGTATTGTAGGAAAAACCACAAGAACTCAAAGAAGTTTAGTACACTTGTCTAATCACGTAATAAGTGGAGGAGATAGAATTTGAATTAAAAATGTCTGGCCCTGGCTGGTGTGGCTCACTTGGTTGGGCGTCTGTTTCTCCCTCTCCCTTCCTCTCGCTCTAAAAAAATCTATTTAAAAAGAGAACCAAATAATAATAATAATAATAATAATAATAATAATAAATTTAAAAATAAAAGAGAGAACCAAGCCCTCCAGCGTGTCTCAGTTGTTGAGTGTCCACTTACGAACCAATAGGTCAGGGTTCGATTCCGGTCAGGGCGTCTGCCTGAGTTGCCTGCTCCATCCCCAGAGTGGGGCTCAGGAGGCAGCCGATCAATGATTCTCTCTCATCATTGGTGTTTCTCTCTCTCTCTCTCTCTTCCTCACCCTTCCTCTCTGGATTTTTTATTTATTTATTTTTTTAAGTGTAGGTACCTACCTGGGTTGTCCATTTGATCCCCATCCAGGTCAGCTGGTGTTGGAGGCCACCAATGGATTTGTCTCTCTCACACCAATGTTTCTCTCTCCCTTCCTCTCTGTAAAAAATCAATAAAGTATATTTTAAAAATATATATCCTCGGGTGAGGATAAACAAAAATAAACAAGAACAACAAATCCAGATAAGTACAAAAGATGTAGTTTCTTCAAAAAAATAAACTGCAAGATTTTTTGTTTGCTTCAATTTGGTTTTTGGGGGGGTTTTTAGTACTTCTTATTTATAGAGATACGTATAGAAATGGAAGGGATACAATGACTCCTGAATTTACTTCAAAATAATTGTTACAAATTGAACATAATTAAAGCATAGTGATTAATCACAAAAACAATATGTAATTATATGTGTTTTCCAATGGTCTTAGGCAACCCTGTGAAAGGGTTGTTCGACCCCCAAAAGGGTTGCGACCCACAGGTTGAGAACCGCTGGCTTAGTGGATAGTGTTGGCCCAACAACTGAGGGTCTTAGGTTCAATTCTGGTAGGGCACATACCTCGGTGGCAGGCTCAGTCCCCAACCCCAGTTGGGGCACATGTGGGAGGCAACCAATGGAAGTATGTGTCTCTCTCAGACTCCTCCTCCCTTCCTCTCTCTCTAAAAAATTAATAGAAAAATATCCTCGGGTGAGGATTAATAATAATAGTTGGAAGTACGTAGGGGAGGAAAGTAGGTGGGAATATAAATGAAACAAGATTAGCCACAAAATGATAATTGTTGAACCTGAGTGACATATATGCATACATATACTCATATACAGATATATGTTTGAAATTTTCCACAAAAGTCATATATATAAATATATATTATATTTCATTGATTTCAGAGGGGAAGGAAGAAAGATAGAAACATCAATGATGATAAAAAATCATAGATCAGCTGCCTCCTGCATGCCCCCCACTGGGGATGAAGCCCACAACCTGGGCATGTGCCCTAACCAGGAATCAAACTGTGATCTCTTGGTTCACAGGTGACGCTCAACCACCGAGCCGAGCCGCACAGGTCCAGCTTGCAAAAGGTTTTTTGGTTTTATTTTTATACAAACATGTGTGTGTTTTTAAGTAGGGAATTGCCACAGAGAAATTTGTTAATCAGTAGAAGAGTTTAAGAGTATAGAAAAAGACCCATGCATATCAGAATTTAGTAAGTGCTGCATAGAATTGAAATCAGATAGAGACAAACAAATAATGGAACTAGGACATTTGCTTTTCATTTGGGGAAAATAGATTTTTATTCTGTACCAATTACAAAAACAAGTTTCAAAGGAATTAAACCCCTAAGGATATTTAAAAATTAAAAATTTTACAGTTTAAAAGAATATGTTGATGACATTGGGGTAGGAAAATCTTAAGTAAGACATAGGAAAAAATTAAGACAAAAGAGAAGACCAACCAAACCAAAATTTTAAAATTCTGTTTGACAAAAAAACCCAAAAAACAAAAACAAGACTAGGGGAGGAATACTTCTAACACATGTAACAAAGGATTAGAACACAGAATGCGAACAAACAAAAAGTCTCCTTTGAATCTCCTGAGACAAGAACCAAAACAAAATTTAATTGGAAAAATAGCCAATTCTTAGAAGAAGAAACAAAACTGGCCATTAAAGACAGGAAAAGGTGCTTGGTCTCACTAGTATGGGAAGTTTAAACGAAGAGGTATCATTTTTCACCCATCAGATTGACCAAAATTTAAAGTTGGAAAGTATCAAGGATTTGCAAGGTAACTCAGCAGGTGGGAGAATGGATGGGTTCCCCTGCTCTGGAGGGAAACTTGACATCTATTAAAATGACAAAACACGTATACCCTGTGACCTAGGATTTCTGTTTCTTAGGTTTCGTTCCAAGAGACACACTCCTCCGCTTTCGCACAGAGGCACAGTCACTCCAGCAATTGAGGGCCTACCCTGTGTCGGTCCCTGTGCTAAGTGTGGGGATGCAGCCGTGAAAAGACAGAAAAATCACTGACCTGAGAGAGCTGGCATTCTAGTGAAGAGGACAGATCCTAAATCAAGTAAATAAATAAATGATGTAGTGTCTTGGGAGGTGATAAATGCAAAGTCATTTGCTCCCAGGCCCTGAAGGGTGGATGACAATAAGAGAAGGAAGGAGGGACTGATCAGACAAAGGGAGGGCAGGGTCTGCTTGGGCTGTGATTGCCACTTTTAGCAAATGTCACCAGACCTCTAGAACCACGGAGAAGCCAGGCCTGAGATGAGGTGGAGGCAGAGTTAGCTTGCTTCACATTAGGAGTGAGAGGTCATCAGACCTGTGTTGTCTCCAGGGCCTACGAAGCAAGGTGAGGCGTAAGGTGCTCAGTGACTCAGTGCGTGAGTGAATGAGGCAATGCCAGGAGGCCAGGATGTGAGCAGGAACTTCCCAAGTCCTTCCAAATTAACAAGAGGTAAGCCTGAGCTAAGGGATTCCTCTTTTGTCATTGTTTCTGCATCGCTTACATCCTAGGCTGAGTCTCAAGTTCCCATTCTTCGTGAATGGGAGACTTCGAGGTGGGAAACCACCAAAGCAGAATTTTAGAGCTGAAGGAAGCTTAGACACATCTGGTCCGCCCTACCCACAATTCCAGCCATCACTGCGTTGCCGTTATCTCTGTAAAAGAGTTTTGTAATTTTCATAGGGCAGGGCAGGGACATTTGGGCAAAGACCTGAAGAAGATGAATGAGTGAGTCACGCAGATAACTGAAGGAAGAGTGTTCCAGGCACAGGGAACAGCAAGTGCAAAGGCAGGAGCATAGCAGGCATGTTTTAGAAGTAGTTAGGAAGTCAGGGTGGTTGGATCAAATGGATGAAGAGGAGACTATCAGGAGACGCGACCAGAGATATTCTGGAGCAGGATGCAGACCAACGAGGCCATTATAGGGACTTTGATTTTTATTCTGAATGAAGTGGGAGTCCTGGGGTCGTTTCGAGCATTGATTTACTCTCTGCTTTTAATGAAATAACTCTGGTTGCTGTATTGGAAACAGAAAGCAGGGGAACAAGATTGGAAATAGGGAAATCAATTAGTAGCCTGTTGCATTGTAGTCGTGAGAAACTGGAAACCACCTAACTGTCCATCCATAGGGGGTTATTTCCATAACCTGACTATAGAATGGGATACTAAGCTAAGCATCTGTTCAAAAAGAGTTCCATAGATCTGGACTAACAAGGAGTTTTCTTTGAGATACATTTTTGAGTTAAAAAAAAAAAATTACTGCCTTGGCTGGTTTGGCTCAGAGCGTCAGCTTGCTGACTGAAGGGTCCTGGGTTCGATTCCAGTCAAGGGCACAGGCGTCCAGGTTGTGAAGTTTTCAACCTTCTTCATTTCATGGCATGCAGAAACTAATTACTAAAATTCTGTGGCACACCAAAAAATATATATTTTTTGCTAAAACAATAGGTATAATTTTGATTTATTCACACACCGGATGACTATTGTTGTGTTGGCTGTTGTCATTTTCTTATTTGGCAATCTTAGGGAAAAGAGGTCAGTGCCCCTGACTAAATAGTTAAGTATTGTCTTAAAAATTCTTGTGACACACCAGTTGAAAATTGCTAATATAATGCAGTGTGAAACCATTGTTTTTTAAAAAAATATGCAAAATAATGTTCTACTTTTCCCATGGGTGTGTATAAGTAGTAACAGCTGGCACTTAACTATATGCCGGGCACTGTTTGAAGTGCTTTACGCATATTAATTCATTCCATCTTCACAGTAACCCTGGGGTAGAAAATGTTATCATTCCCATTTTATAGGTGGAGGAAATTGAAGCCCAGAGAGGTTTAGGCGACTTCTCCAGAGTCACACACTTTGTATTTGACACAGCCAGGATTTGAACCCAAGAAAGCCAGCTGTAGAGACCAATCCCCAGTTTTGCTCAGTGGATAGAGCATCAGCCTGTGTACTGAAGGGTCCTGGGTTCAATTCCAGTCAAGGTCACATGCCCGGGCTGCGGGCTTGATCCCCAGCAGAGGGTGTGCAAGAGGCAGGTGATCAATTATTCTCTCTTCATCATTGATGTTTCTATCTTATATATATTTTTTAAAGCAGAGCTCTGGCCAGTGTGGCTAAATGGTTTCTATTTCCAGTCAAGGGCTCATACGTGGATTGCAAGTTTGATCCTCATCCCTGGTTGGGGCTTGTGCAGGAGGCAACCAATCAATGTGTCTTCCTCACATCAATGTTTCTCTCTCTCTCTCTCTCTCCAATTCCCCCTTCAAAAAAAAGCATTTCGCCGAAGCCGGTTTGGCTCAGTGGATAGAGCGTCGGTCTGCCGACTGAAAGGTCCCGGGTTTGATTCCAGTCAAGGGCATGTACCTTAGTTGCAGGCACATCCCCAGTGCGGGGTGTGCAGGAGGCAGCTGAATCGATGTTTCTCTCCCATCGATGTTTCTAGCTCTCTATCTCTCTCCCTTCCTCTCTGTAAAAAATCAATAAAATATATATATTTTTTTAAAAAAGCATTTCATGTCCTACCCTAGTTTAAAAGCCTCCCATGGAACATAATAGAAAGTTTGGAAATTGATCCAAATAAACGTGGGAATGTAGATTATAAGGGAGACATTTCAAATGATTGGGAAAATATGGTAATATTAGTATAACAGGGTAGTTATTTGCAAAAAAAAATTTTGGATGCTGGCCTCACACCATATACCAAAGTGAATTTATGGTGGAACAAGGATTTAAATGTAAAATATAAAAACTAGAACAGAATTATTTTTATAATATTGAACTAGAGAAGGTCTTTCTAAGAATAATACAGAGCCTGAAAGCCATGAAGGAAAAGACCAATAAATTAAAATACACATAAAATAAAAAATTTCTCCATGGTAATCTATATATATATAAAACCCTAATATGCAAATAGACTGAACGGTGGAACAACCAAACAACTGGTCACTATGACGTGCGCTGACCACCAGTGGGCACAACACATAACATGGCTCCCCTCAGGACTTCTCCACCTCCCCCTGCTCCTGAGGGGCGATCAGGGCCTGCAGCTGCCGCTCGCCCCTGCTGATGGCACTGGCCCCACACACATCCTCAGCTGGCACCGGAACCGCTGCTCATACCTGCTGCCGGAGCCCGGCGCTGGTCCCGATTGGTCAGCACTGTCAGTGGGTGAGAGTGGCGGCTGCCGGCCCCAATTGCCCCTGAGGGCTTCTCCATCTCCCCCTGCTCCTGAGGGGTGATTGGGGCAGCAGCCACCACTCCCACCTGCTGCTGGCGCCAGCCCCTCTCGGGTGTAAGCAGGGCAGGCGCTGTCAGTACATGGGAGCGGCGGTGGCGGGAGCAGGGCTGCCAGCAGATAGGGGACCAGGGCCAGGGCCCTGGCAGGAGGGGCTGAGACACGTCTCTGTGCCTATCGCAGCCTCGCAGCCCACAGTTCCTTTCAAGGTGCATGAATTTGTGCACTGAGCCCCTAGTAAATAATAAATCAGAAAAATATTTACAACTTATATGTAGAAAGGATAAATATTTCTATGAATCAATGAGAAAAAAAGTTCAACAGAAAGACCAACTGAAGAAAGGGCAAATGGAATGAACAAAGAATTCACCAGAACAAGACCCCCTAAAAAAAGACACATGAATATGAGTCAATTTCACTCTTATTAAAAAATAAAAGTGCATCTTGGTTTTTATCTTTTTGTAAATATATTTTTATTGATTTTAGAGAGGAAGGAGGAGGGAGAGAGAGATAGAAACATCAATGATGAGAGAATCATTGACCGGCTGCCTCCTGCACACCCCCTGCTGGGGATCGAGCCTGCAACTTGGGTATGTGCCCTTGACAGGAATCGAACCAGGGCCCTTTCAGTCTGCAAGCCGATGCTCTATCCACTGAACCAAATCAGCTAGGGCGGGTTTTAATCTATCTTATTGGCAAGGATAAAGAGGTTTGCTAACACATTGTGTAATTCAGGATGTAAGGAAATCTGCACATTCATTGCTGGTAGGACAAACTGGAACCACTGTGGTGGAGACCGCCTTGCCAATATCGACTAAAACAAAGCAAAAACAAATCCATATACTCATTTACTGATAATTCCATTTCCAGGAATTTACCTAACAGATAAACTCCCACATATGCAAAATAACAAATGGACAAGTTATAGCATTATTTGGGAAGAAAAAGATTGGAAACTACCTAAGTGTTCCCAAATAGCAAGTAAATTATGACATCTTTATAAAGTTGTTAACTTGAAAAAATTGAGGCAGATCCAAAATGTAGAGCTCAGTGAAAAAAGCAAGATGTGGAAGTATTTGTGTAAAACACTTATACATGTAAGTTTGCTTGTGAATACAGTCACCATCTCTGAAAGACTATAGAGATAAGAGTGAGCTTCTATGAGGGGAACTGGGGGTTAGAAAGTAGGGTGAGAAGAGGACTTACTTTTTAATCTATGATTTTTGGTATATTTTTAACATTCCATTTTCCAGAATACCTAATTTTTAATCAATTAAGTTAACACTAGAGGACATCCCTCGTCACCCTACATAAACATTGTTGAATAAATGCTTCTCTCCCTCACTGGGCAGGGCTTACATTCCTGACCACTCAGTCTAAAGTAGCAACTCTCCCTTCACCCTCTTTACTACAATACCTTGACCTACTTTCTTCCTAACCCCGGTCACTATTTGAAATTACCTTGTTTGTATATTTTCTTAGTTGTTTACTGTCTCTATCTAAAGCGTTTAAAAGGTCAGGGACGTGTCTTGTCTTGGTCCCAATTTTGTCTTTAGCAACCCAAACAATAAACATTTGGTGAATGAATTTATGCAGCATATACTATGGACCATACACTGTTCTACGGACTTTAAAAATAATAACTCTTATTCGTTATTTTTTTAAAATATATTTTATTGATTTTTTATAGAGAGGAAGGGAGAGAGATAGAGAGTCAGAAACATCGATGAGAGAGAAACATCGATCAGCTGCCTCCTGCACATCTCCTACTGGGGATATGCCCGCAACCAAGGTACATGCCCTTGACCGGAATCGAACCTGGGACCTTTCAGTCCGCAGGCCGACGCTCCATCCACTGAGCCAAACCGGTTTCGGCCTCTTATTCGTTATTTTTATTTATTAATTAGAGAGGGAGGGAGCGAGAAAACACATCCATTTATTGTTCCACTAACTTATCCATTCATTGATTGATCCTTGAATGTGCTCTGACCTGGCAGCCAAATCACAACCTTGGTGCATCAGGAAGATGATCTAACCAACTAAACTACCGGGGTATGTGTGTGTGTTTCGGGGGGGAGACAGGGCAAATATCAATTATTTTAATCCTCACAGTAACTCAATGATGGAGGTTGATTTTTACCCATTTTACAGTTAAGAAAACTGAGGCACAGGGTTGTTGAGGAACTTGACTAACTGGAGTTGGAATCCTAAACACAATGTTCTTAGCCACAGCGAAATTCTTTTTCGATATATAAGCTGACAGATAGATGAAAATGACTGACTAAATGAACGAATGGAAATATAAATTAAACGCTTTCTACCCCCCCACCCCGTTCTTGGTTCCCGAGATGTACGGCAAGGGGGCGCTCTCTCCCAGGTCTTGACGCCAGTCCTCACGGCGTCACTCCCTTTGCGTCTCGGGCTCGCGCGCGCTGCCCCGGCACCGGAAGTGACTGAGCTTGCAAGTTCCCCCGGTCTCTTCAGGGGAAACTGAGGCCGGCTCGTTCGGAAGAGACAGAGGGAGCCTCCCATCAGCCAGGTAGGCCGGCCCGGGTCAGCGGCGCGGAACTCGGCCGCCAGGACCCCTCGCATCTGGAAACAACCTGGCCGACGAAGGGGGAATGTGGCCCCCCACGGCTCGCGGGGCTCGCAGGTGAGAGCACCGCCTCCCCTGTGTGTGGCAGGCGCTGCGCCCAATGGGAGCCCTCGCCGTCCCGCTTCCGTGCCGACTGGGCTCTCTGATTGGTTACAGGGGCGGGCCGCCGGGGACGAGACCCCCTTCTCCCAGAAAGGTCTAGGGGGCGCCCCAGAGGGAGAGCGGTTGCCTAGCAACTGGGCGGTGGCCCAGCGGGTACCCGGCCCCGGGCGCGGGAGGAGCCGCCAGGCCGCATCCGGAGAGGTGCAGCCCCCAGCCCCCCGGCCCTCCCGGGGGCGCCAGGAAGCCGCCGGGAGCCTGGCTCCGGGAAAACGTGGTCTCAGCTGTCGGGTCCTCGAGCAGGCCTCGACCCTGCTCCCCGACCGGCGAGGCCCGGCGCCTCGCCCTCACCCTCACCCGGTCTTTGTGCGGGGCGCCGGCGGCCATTGTGTCCGTGCGGGAAATGGAGGAGCCGGCAATCCCCTGCCGCCACCGCCGCGTCCAGGGCCTTTGGGGAATTCAGAGAACACCAGCGGCGTTTCTGGGGGGTCCCCGGCCTGCAGCCTCCCGGAAAGGCCCGGGGATGGCATTTCCGAAGTCAGACCTCAGATGCGAGGCCGTTTCCCCTGCCCTCTGCCCCTCATCGAAACCTTGAGCCCCATTGAGAAGTCCTTTCGGGGTTTCGGAAGCCTCACCCGGGGCCGGTCCTTAAATAGAAACGACAACAACAAAAAGCCCTACGGCCTGCCCCGGCCGCCTTCGGGAGAGTTCTCCTGGCTCCCAGTAGGAGGCAGAGAGCGGAGCGAGCGTGCTCGAGCGAGGGGGCTGGACTGCCGGTGGCAGGAGGCCGTCCTCATTCTGGGCGATGGAGGAGGAAGCGAGCGAGGCGGCCGGTTCCTGAGCTTCGTAATTGCCGTGTCGCCCTCGGGACACCCAGCCGGCAGGGCCGCATGGTCCCTGCAGCCGCAGCTGGGTTTTTTGCCAGCCGCCCGTGAGGCCGGTTGAGTTACCGGCAGCCGCCTCCTCTCCGGACCCCATGGTACAAAAGATCGCCCGGGGACTGCACCTGCCTGCCTCTGCCAGAGACGTGTTTGAATGTAGGTGGAGCGGGGGTGGGGATGGGGGGCCGACAGCTTCGGGGAAAAGGAGGTGGCTGGGGTCGGGGGTGGGGGAGAAGAAAAGGCCGGTGTGATGGTTCAGAGACCACTGGTGCTTTCAATTTGACTTGATGGGAGTCTCCGAGAAGCTAGTCTCAGGCGTTCCTAAGAACCACAAAGAAGCCAGTTCTGGTATCTGGAGGTGGAATGCGAGGTTGTAAGGTTAAATGGCTTGCATATTAATTCATTTTTTTCCTGAAAGCTCTTTCTCTCCCTTCAGAACCTTATCTTGGCTTTGGATCTCAGAAGGCAACCACTAACTAGAGGCCAGACTCCAGTGAGTGAGCAGGTGTTTTGGACAATGGACTGGTCGAGCCCATCCCTATTATAAAAAATGTCTCAGAGCAACCGGGAACTGGTGGTTGACTTTCTCTCCTACAAGCTTTCCCAGAAAGGATACAGCTGGAGTCAGTTCAGTGATGTGGAGGAGAACAGAACTGAGGCCCCAGAAGGGACTGAATCAGAGGTGGAGACCCCCAGTGCCATCAATGGCAACCCATCCTGGCACCTGGTGGATAGCCCTGCGGTGAATGGAGCCACTGGCCACAGCAGTAGCTTGGATGCCCGGGAGGTGATTCCCATGGCAGCGGTGAAGCAAGCGCTGAGGGAGGCAGGCGATGAGTTTGAACTGCGGTACCGGCGGGCGTTCAGCGACCTGACATCCCAGCTCCACATCACCCCGGGGACAGCATATCAGAGCTTTGAGCAAGTAGTGAATGAACTCTTCCGGGATGGGGTGAACTGGGGTCGCATTGTGGCCTTTTTCTCGTTCGGTGGGGCATTGTGCGTGGAAAGTGTGGACAAGGAGATGCAGGTATTGGTGAGTCGGATTGCAACGTGGATGGCCACTTACCTGAATGACCACCTAGAGCCTTGGATCCAGGAGAACGGAGGCTGGGTAAGGACCACACCCCTGTGTGTCCCTTTTCCTTGGCCTCTGCTCAGAGAGATCTCATCAGCCTTTCCCCATGTCTCTTTCTGTTGTGCCGGCTGGTTACTTGGACATGTTGTTAAGGAGACATGAACTGGCCTCTGCACTGCAAAAGGTTATCGGTTCTAAAAAACAGATGACCGAGTGCTTGAAGGACCAGGCATTTTTTTCTTTCCTACCTGTGTTCCAGTTTCTCGGTGGAGGAAATCATAGCCTGTTCATTTGAGAGTGGGAAGTTAGTCCAGGGTTCCCTCACCCTGACATAATGGCTCACCACCAAAGGGGTGATGAGGATAAGGCCTAGAGAAGATAGCGAGTATCAGTGACCCATAAGCCCCTCCATTCTTACTCCCTCAGGGATGTCAGTCTATTCTGGGCTTCCCTTCCCCACATCAAATTCTTTTTATTTTGAAGTTTGCATACCTGATGTTCTCTCAGAAGAAGACAAGGCCAGGCAGGAGTTTCCACCGGCTTGGATGGCTGAGGATCGCCTGATTTTAGGGCAGTGACCAGTTGTGTTTGTGCTGCACCTCTGTGTTCATTTGCTCTAAAGTGTGCAACTTTCTATATGGTTGGCCTGTTTCCTGAGCTCTTGCTGTGTCACACATTAAGCCTGAACTTTGTACTTCACTACCTAGAGTCGGTTGGGGAGCTCCAGCTGGTCTGCCTATTGCTTTCCGGCCAGGGCCCTGGGGCCTCTTCACGGAGCACTGTTTGCTGGCAAAGCAAGAACTGAGTCTGTGGGGGCTCTATGGGACATCAAGATTCGGTGACTGACTTCGGAATCAAACTGACATGGGTGTGAGTCCCACCACTGTCACTTAACTAGCTATGTGACCTTGGACAGACTAGTTTACCTTGAGCGTCAGTTTCTTCCACTAAAAAAATGTGGCAAGCCCTCCTTGCCTTGCAGGGTATTGTAATCTTGGAGCTAATATAAGCACAATGACTGACACCAACATGTTTGCTGTAGTAGTTGGGACCAGGAGTCATGCCTCATTGCTTTCCCAGGAGAGAGAATTCTTTTGCTTGTCACCAAGTTAGGATGTGACAGTGGTGAGAGATTCTGTATCAGTGGCCATGTAGGCAATTTTTGCTATTCTACAGTGACCTCAGTCACATTTTCTTGCTATCTCCCTGCCTAGGGGAGGTGAGGGCTTATGAGGTATTCTGTGCCCTCAGAATACCCCTAAAATTGAGCAGACTGTGCAAAATAAGTAATCTATTGAAGAAACTAAGATGGAAGGGGCCATGCACTGTGGACTCAGGAATGTCAAGAATGCAATTATCTATAGGCTGGGCCTAGGGCGTGGCAGGCACTTCAGTTAACGAATGAGCAGAGACCTCTGAGTTTGCCCTGGAACCCCACCCCCTGTCTTATTTCCCATTTCTTTGCAACTTCATCAACTCTTCCCACTGCCAATACTTGTACGAGGCAAAGAGATAAGTCAATAGAGGTCAGATGATTGGGGCGGGGTTGGGGGAGGTAAAAGAGAGGGCACTCTTGAGCTAAGGCTGACCAGACTTGAAAGCCATTCTGTAAATGAACTCCCTGGGGGGATAAATGATTAAATAGTTCCTGTTGGTTTGTTCAATGACCTCTCATTCCCTCCTGCTTTGATTCTCTTTGGGGGCAAATATTTGTTCAGCTGATTACAGGAGGGACAGGATTCCGGTGCTTCATTCAGACACGCCCTCTGAGGCTTCTCTAGGTAGATGTGGGTCATGTGCCTACTTTGCATGACTGTTGTCTTTGGCCAGTGGTCCTAATAACAGGTGGGTTGTTGCCAGCTATTAACAAAAGGCAATCTGGGAGAGTTGCCTGGTCTACCAGCCAGCCTCTGCAGAGGGCTACCTGGGCCAGAGAATTGCCAGTCATCAGTGTTGCATGTGAAAAGAGGTTTTAGACACAGCAGCACTGGGCAAGTTCAGTAGACAGCCACTATATTGAAATTCCATTTTCTCTCATTGCTCAAGAATTATCAGAGCCCGTTGGACAACATACCATATACTTCTTCCTCTTGATGAACAGAGGGGATGTGTGCGGATGAGTCAGTTATGTCAGAACTATTTCTGGGCATGCATTTTCCCTGAGGCCAGAAGGTATTGACTCAGGATCTTTTTTTTCCACAACTCAGGTATGTGCCCTTGACCAGAATCGAACCCAGGACCCTTCAGTTCGCAGGTTGATGCTCTATCCACTGAGCCAAACTGGCTAGGGTGACTCAGGATCTTTTGGGTAGAAGGCACCTGCACACTTTCAGGTACCATTTGGTTTGAGCTGCACAGATTGGCTACTACAGTGGCATCTCGTAACCTTCCTGGAGGATAGGCTGGAGGGAATCCAGGAGTGTAGGAATTATGGGTTGTTTCATCCTTGGGTATTCTCTAAATTTAACATCCCTACAGGAAAAGGAAAGGAAATGAGCCTTTATGGAGTATATCTTATATTTAAGGCATTGTCTTAGGTCTTTTTTACTTATGCAGCTATAATTTATTGAGCATCTACTATGAAACATACAATGTTTTAGATGCTGGCCATAAGCCAGACATGGTACCTTTCCTTGTGGAAATGACATGCTATTTTATATATTCCACACAATAACCTTTAAGGTAGGTAGGTTTATTCCCAGTTTACCTGTGAAGCTAAGTGACTGGCCCCAGGTGTCCCACAGCCAGTTAAGTGACTGAATGAGAAGTTACACATAGGTTGGCCTGACTCCAAAGCCTAAAACTCTTTCCATCCATATCAAGTTCTCCAAGGAATAATAAAGTGACTAGCACAGAAAGCCAGAGATGCCGTTGGGCTGAGTAAAACATGCCTGTGGAGGTGCTCACCCTGGTCTGTGATCTTGGCATTGTTTAGGTCACTGCAGGAAGAACAGTGCCTTTATTGGCAGTAGCAGGCTCCCAAAGGCAAGTATGTAGATTCAGATTCTTGCACTGGTAAACTCAAGCAGGTATCAGGAGTTTGCCCAGTCAGAGTGGGCTTCTTGTTAAGTTTTTCACTGTTAAGACCCTCTCAGACCCTACTAATAGATAAGAATTGTGCATGTGGGGAGAAGGTGGCCTGCTCCGGGTACGTATACTTAATTGTGGGGGATGCTCCAAGGACTGGAATTCCAGACTTATAGCTACATCACCGCATGCTTGCTTGGGGTCACCTGGCAAGATGCTGAACCTGTTTGTCTCTTGTTCATCCATCTCTCCCTGTAAAATGAAATAATGATAGCCACCTACCATAGCTTGACTCTAGTAAAGGATCTAGAACAAAGGCCCTTCCTGGGCCTTAATTGTAGGGTGGGAGCACCCCCTGAATAGACTACCTGCCTCAGAAGATTGAACTTTGTCCCCAGAGTTTCAGAGGAAACAAAGTCAGCCCCTGAGATTTTCACCCGAAATGGTACATGTAATGTGACCTTCCCTGAAGGGACAGAGTGTTTCTGGGGCTTTCCAGTGGAAATGTGGACAGTTATGGGGTGAGGACCCTGGTGGGCTAAGACATTTTGGGATTGCTGTCCCTGGGAAACTCCATAGCTAGATGGAAATGCCATTGTTGAGAGCAGTGAAGTGTGTGTGGGAGAATACATAATTTGGCCTTTTCCAATCTGCATGGCTCTGTGGTCTTACATTTCTTCTTGCCTGGTCTGGCGGCTTCTATATAGACGTCTGCTCAGATACCTCAGCGACCTTTGCAGATCTCAGCAGCTGTTGCAGCTCTGTGGTTTTCTTGGGGAAACCCCATTAGAAACCCCAAACGTGGAAATTTTTAGTAATCTCATTCAGGTCCCAAAGTGAGATAGAAGTGTTTCAGGGGCTCCCCCTCAAAGCACCCAGTTCTTCTGGATGTACATTGAGGTTGCTGTTAAAACTCTATCACCATCATAGGGTTTTCTAGACTTCCTAGGACAAATTTCCCCAGTATCCCTATGGAGCCTTTCACCTTCTGGTATAAAAATACCCAGGTATTTTTTCAGGGAGCCCCAACAGAACCCAGAGGGTTTTCTTAACTTTTGTGTGGGCAGTCACCTGATTTGTTTGGGCTACAGGAAGCAACAGTTGTTAGCTGTCTCTTCCCAAACAGGTATCTGTCCTGAGGCCAGTGGGCTTGAGTGTCCTCTTCTGTGCCCAGCCGCCTTGGTTTTTCAGCACCCTCAGCCTTTCTTTATGGGCTTTCTTTCAGTAACTGTGTTTTTTTCTGCATTTAGCATGGTTAGTTTAGGAGTAATTCCCGCTGAGCTGCTCTTCTACGGCAACATAATCTCCTACTACGTTAATTAGCAGGGTCTTGTCCCTAGCCCCAACCTCCAACCTAATTCCATGAAGTCTTCCCTAAGGACTCCATCTCTTTTCTTTGAAGAAGTCACTCTGCTCCTGGATCTGCTGCTTTTATGTTCCTCCAGCCGGCAGTCTGTCTTCCCCATTCTCAGTTGGCAGACTCGAGTCACACAATCCCACTGGGTCTTTTTGTTTAGCCTGGGGAAGAGAAGACCCAGGAGAATATGATCACCAGTTTCAAATATCTGAAGGAAGAGGGGCTAAGCCTTTTTTTTTTTTTTTTTATCAGTATAGTACCCAGCAGAACTTGGATTAATGAGGGGAAAATAACAGTGGTAGAGTTTAAATTAGTGTAAAGAAGACATTTCTAAAACTACCATGTCTCTATTAGGTTTAGAAGCTTCCTGAGTGTCCCAGTCAATACTTGTTTGTCCATACTTATTTCCTCAGCACTGAGCAGAGGTCTTAGGCATAGCAGGCACCTAGTGAAAGAGATGCCCACTAAATTTCTGAAGAAACAGACATGTATTAAACCAGAATAATAGTAATGGAAACTGCCCTTTACCTGATCATTTATTCATTGATTCAAACAGTATTTATCAAACTCTTACTGTATGTCAGGCTGTCCTAGGTACCAGAGGTACAGCATTAAATAAAACAAATTTTCTGTCCTTGTGGAGCTCACATTC